ATGCCTCAAAAACAAAACTTCTCTATTACTCACCAGAGAGAACCATCCCTCCCTCGCCCTCATTTGTCACGCTCAACTCCACGAGATCACCTCTTTGCGACTGCTCGGACTCATTGACTACCTGAGATGGAACAGATACATTCAGTAAATATTTGTCCACCGCATATATATATTTCTCGCCGAAGCGATATATCTACAAATCAACCATTCGCCCTATGGATTATTATATATGATCTGGATCCCCTTCTGTTTGTCTCAGTCCTTGATAAAATCCAGAGACGGATATGCAATGTAATTGGCCCTGATCTCGTCTGCAGTCGCTCTCGCCGTCTTCCTTCTGTCTTTTATTTACAAAAACTTTCACGGTCATTGATCCGATGAGCTGCTTTCGCTGGTTCCCAGACTTCATGAATTTAAGCTTTCAACAAGGCAGGCATCTCGCTCTCAACATTTCACTGTCGAAACTGTTAAATGTAGCCGTCTCTTCTACTCCAATATCTTCAGGTCTCGCACTTCTTGCTTGTGGATCTCCCTCCCCATTTCTTGTTTTCCTGATAGCTATAATCTCCAACTTTTCAAATGTAATGTCAATCGACGTCTCCAGATGCCTTGATCTATCCCCTATCCTTCTCTTCATCCTTTCCTCCATCACTCCTCTTTGCCCTTGCTCCAATTCTGTGTAACACCTTACGTTCTAGTAGCTTCCTGCCTTGCTTGGGGTGAAATGCTTAAAAAAAAAAAAAGAAAAAGACGCGAATACTGAGATTTTGGAAAGAATTATTTAATTTAATGTAAAAACATAGAAATGGTATATCTTTTTACCATGTATGATACCACGGCTTTCCATAGATTCTTTTTCCTTATTATTTTTCGATTGGCGTGATATTATGGAAAAAATAGCGGTGTTCTTTCTCAATGATTTCTCCGTAGGTTTAAATTCTTTCTTCGAGACATGTTCGCACCTATGGCTAGGCAGCCCAGTGTACTCAGCTATTAAACACATAGCTATGGTCAATAGATACCAAGTGCATTTGGACGAATATGCTTGGGTGAAACGTTTAAAAAAAGAAAGACAAAAAACTCAATTTGAAAATAAATAAAATTTAAATATATACATTTTTAGAAAAATAAATCTAAATACGTCGGAAAGCAAAAGATATTTCTGTAAGGCAGTTCCATAATGTTGAAAATAATGGTACAAACATAAGTCCTTTCGTACCAATGCGTGCGCCCCTGATATTTCCATCCTTGCTCCTACTTTGATTTTATTTCACATTAATGACATTTTCGATGTCATCGTCTTTCAACTTGGTATTTATGTTGATATACCAAGAATTTATTCCTGTTTTGAGAGTAAGTCTGATCAGTTTGCTAAGGTCAAAATTGCAGCTGATGTCCAAAATGACCTACAGTCTGCTGCTACTAGGGCAAAAGATGGCCTGTTAATATTAACGCCTCCAAAACTAATCTGCTCTCCATTAATCATCTGAGAGATCATCACCTCTGCCTTCCATCACCATAGCTGATGAAACAGGCAGGAAAGTGATTCTCTGGCTAATGTTCTTAGCCGACATGAAGTGGAAAGATTATATTGAATCCATCGCTAAGTCAGGTGCTAAAAACCTTGGTTGCCTGTGTCGTGCGAGGCAAGCTTTCTTTCCAGAATCTATCCTACGTACCTAGAAGCCTACTATGCTTAGAATATTGCTGCCACATATGGTCAGATAATCCTGCTATTTATCTAGTGCTCATTGCTAAAATCTGAAGAAGAATCAGCAAGGTTATTAGTCCTGATCTGGCATCTTGGCTTTTGTCACTTTCCCACCAAACTAAGGTTACCTTCTTTTACCTTTTCTATAAATATTTTCACACTAATTGTTGTTTTATTCCTCTCTCCCCACAGTCAATGAATTGTATATATGGGGACTAGTTAGGACTTCATGGAGTTTTTGAGGCATTTTGGTGGATGAAGTAAGAATGGTAAGTAAAAATGCATTCTTTTGGTGTAAGGATTTTTGTTGTATGTTTAGGTCAGTGTTTGTGGTTAGCTAAGGTTAACGCTAAGACCAAAGAAGACCGTCATTTTCCCCATTTTGGCCATATGCTACATTACTGTATATTAGCCGAATAAATATCGCTCTTCGCTATGGTATCTAGATTTTTTAACATTTAAGCGCAGTACTAGACTAACACTGAGTTCTCATCCATTTACAGTTGAGCTGGTTAGATGTACCCCTAAGTTCGACGCTAAGTTTCTTTTATCGTCATTCTCGCTTGTGGAACTCCCTTCCGTCTGTATGTTTTCCAGACAACTTTAATCTTCAAAGGCATATCAATCGCTATCAATATCCCTAATTATCTTTTGTTCCCCTAATTACTCTTGTTTTGTTTCTAATTCTTCCACACTCATTAAGCCCTTGTGTTTTTGTGTCGTTACTAACTTGCTTGGGGTAAACTCGATTAAAAAAGTATACTAAACTATATAAAAATTATATTCCTTGAAGAATATTTAGAGTATGCAAGCAGTCAGTGACTTCATCTTCTTTTCTTGTTCTCCATTCAGGTCATATTAAACTGAGTTGATAATTTAGACATTTGTGTCGCAACTTAATTGGTCGGCACTTTAAATTAACGTTACAGAAGAGTTTTAAAGTTTTTGAACTAGAACGTTATCACTCCTCCTGCCAATAACTGTTTTACTGAGCTAAGATACATGCAAATCGATATAGTGATTTTCCAAGCGTAGTTTAGATGTGGCACAAGTCTAAAAACATGGGCCAACCGGTGAGGATCGAACTCAATACTCATTCCTAATTGTTCTAGCGAGACAATCTGGCTAACCATTACATCATCTCGAGATGTCCATGCAAATCTATATATTTAGAAAATACACTGCCCGGAATCGATATTAAAACTCATCTCAGAGACATTTACATCAAACTTTATATTTTCTATTCCTGCGTCCAAATTCTGTGTAATAAACATTAATATATATACAAATTTTCTCATAGTAACAGACCATTTCGTTTTAAGGATAATGATAATAAAAGCCGTCATTGACCGATTAGCTAGTGCTTCTCTCGGTTGAAATTTATAAAATCTTCAAACAATTTTTTTTAATATATATATATATATATATATATATATATATATATATATATATATATATATATATTATGTCCTCTTAATTGGGGAACATAGGGCCGCAACAACACCTTTTCAACGGACGCGGTTCTGGGTGATCTACTTCAGCTCGGCCCATTTCGTGCCGACTGCCTTCAACTCTGCGTCAGCACTTCTGCGCTAAGTCTGTTTTGGTCAACCCACTTTTCTCTTTCCTATGTGGATTCCAGTCAAGGGCCTGCCTGGTGACACTGGAAGCAGGCTTTGCGGAGTGTGTAGGCAATCCATCCCCATTTCCGTTTCTTGATGTCAATCTCGAATGATGCTTGTCCGGTGCTAAAGATCCGTTTATAAACATTCCTATGCTAAATTTTGAGAAAAGGGGAAATATATATAAATAAATAAATAAATAAATAAAGGAAGCAAACAGAAACTTCGGTTTATAGAAATAGTCAGATCGTTTACGGAAATTTCTTCACAATTTAAAAACAAACCATAAGAAAAAAAAGACTCGGTTTATTTCCCAGATAAATAATCACCTTGCTTCCTACTTGTATAAAACGTCTATATGACTTGAGTATTTGATATCAACCAGAAGCATTATGGGCTTAACCAGTCAGATTTGGAATTTCATATGGATCTAATGCATGAAATCAAATTCGTACAGAAATGTCTAAATCTGTCAGAGGTATACAACTGCTTCCTTAGCTCAATGGATAAAAATGGCTTCGAGGGAATGAAACCTGTAGAACTTAACGAAAAGCATCATTTTTCGAACTGTTTCGATTGCACTACAGAACTGAAATCAAACAACTGTATCAAATAACAGAAACCACATCACTTGAGGATTTTCAACAATGCTAACAACTAAAATGAATAGCATGTTTAACTCGAAGAGACAAAGATGGCATAAATAAAATATTAACTTTCCACACTACTTCCAATAAAATGCTAGAGAGGAAACTGGAAAAGAACGATAAAAGTTAATGGATTTGAAAAAAAAAATATTACTTTAAAAATTGTTTTTTAAAAAAAAGATTTGTATAAATAACAAACGAAACCCGAACTGGAGACTCGGTCAAAGAATAATGAATGTAATTTTTATAAGGAAACGAATACTATTGCTATTATCATTAGATATGAGGAGACATATACTGCAGTGTCATTCCAGCCCTCTGAGCAGGGAGTGGAGAAAACTAGTGTGGCACTTTCTGCTCTGTCAGTGATTCCTTATAAGGAAACAGTTTATATTACCATCACCATTATACATGAGAACAGATACTACACTTTAATCCCGATTCAGATACCCAGGGAGTGAAGACAAGCGTAACTCAAGTCAAGTGCTTCTCGGTCGATGGATGCTGAATACTTCTTTTAAAGAAACGGTTTATATTACAATTATTATATCAGTTAACTTTGAAAAGGTCTAATATCAAACATCCAGACCTCCGCTCTCTGCTAATTGACAAAATCCTGGATAACGCAATGTGCTCAACATAGACAAATTGTTGATGTACGAAGGTTCATATGCGTGTGTGCTCTGCCCCTTGTACTGAAACCTCGATGCAAATCTTTTGATACTGTGTACAGATCGGATTTTACTCAACAGAGTGACATTAATATGTTTTAACGCAGGATGCCAGCTTTCCCCAGCCTCGCGTTATTGAAGTATAAAGGGTCCATTGATTGCATACGGACAAATGAAAAGGAAAGTTCTCTCGGCTTCATCGTCAAGATCTTAGACAGGCAGATAAAAACCAACATGACGACAAAGGGAAATCGAATAAGACATCTTACATGGTCGGATGACCAATCAGCAAGCGGGGCACGCAGCGCCATCTGGTATATTCGTCTCTGAGTTCTGAACAGGAAATGGAATGTTTTGTCCGTCATGTTCAATGCTAAGAAACATTCAATTTGCCTCGTCTGCTTGCTCGTTTATTTTTCGGGGTTTAGTCAATGCAACTGTTTTCTTTTCTTTTCTTTTCTTTTTTTTTTTTTACTTCTGTTTCCTATTTGTTTCTTTGCTCTTCATCGTAACTAAGAGGTTTCTTTTAGGGACCTTTTTTTCTTTTTTTTTTTTTGTTTAATGTTTGACTTGTGACCGTTTCTTTTTCCTTCTTTTTCACTTCTTTCTTTCTTTTTCTGCATTCATTCCTTTCTTATTTTGTTATGCATCTTTCTAACTTGTGACCTCGTTCTTTTCTTTCAACTCTTTTCTGTCTGTATATTTATTTTTATTAGAATTTTTACTTGTTCGTATATTTCTGTAACTCCCTTTCTTTCTTTCTTTTTTTCTTTCTTTCTTTCTTTCTTTCTTTCTTTCTTTCTTTCTCATATTTGTACCCAAATCTTTTTTCCTTTTTGTATTAAAGTACTTTTTCTTCTTTTCCTTTATTCTGTTTCTTTTCCTATTTATCCTTTCTTTCTTTCTTTCTTTCTTTCTTTCTTTCTTTCTTTCTTTCTTTCTTTCTCAGGGTTTCACCTATTTAAGCTTGCTTTTTTAAAGGGATGTATTTCTTGCCTTTGTTTTTTTCTTTCCCTTTTCCTTTTTAATTACAATTCTCTCTGTTTCTTTGTTTCTTTCTGTCTTTCTTTCTTATATTTATACACAAAACTTTTTGGTACCTTTTTTGTATTACAAGAACGTTTTTCTTTCTTTTGCTTTATTCTGTTCCTTTTCCATTTTATCCTTATTTTCTTTCTTTCTTTCTTTCTTTCTTTCTTTCTTTCTTTCTTTCTTTCTTTCTTCCCATGCTTTATTTATTCTAATTATTTTATTTCCTAAATATTTCCTTTCTCTTTACCGCCTTTTTCCCCTTTTGGCCTTTTTCATTTTCTCTTTCTTTTTCCCATCATTCTTTCTCGTTCTTTTTTCATTTTCAATTTTAATTCCTTTCTTTCTTTATTTCTTTCCTTGTCCTTGTTTATACCTATGCCTTCCAATTTGTCTTTCTTCACATTCGATCCTTCTGCGATTTTGA